CGTCACAACTCGCTCGCCCGTGTAGTCGCCATCGAATGAGCCGGCGTTGTTGAGCAGGCCGTCCAGCGATGGGTGGCCTTTCGCAACGTTATCGCCGAGCTTTCGCACGTCCGACATGCTCGAGAGGTCCGCAACGTAGCCGTCGGCGTGGCCGCCCTTGGCCGCGATCGCGTGCACAACGGCGTCCACCTTGGCCGGCGTGCGCCCATGGACCAGCACGTGGTGGCCCTTGGCTGCGAGGTGGTGAGCAGCGGCGAGGCCGAGGCCCGCTGTACCTCCTGTCACCAACGTCGTCGGCATTCTCCTGCTACAATTGCCGCAGTATCTCCTCCTCCTCCTGCTCGGTGTGTGTCCCCCTGCGCGGCCTTCTACCGAGCGTATTTTCTTCCCGATACAAGGCTGTGAACTGCGCACCATAGGAGATAGGACGTATTTTCTTCTCAATAACAAGGCTGTGAAGCCGTCGACCACACCGACTACGGCACAGCCTCTGGCAGCGCCCGGGCTTCGCCCAGCACCACTCGCAACAGCTCTCGCGCGCCGCCGTCTGTCTGTGACGATGCGCAAAACATCAACAACGCTGCTCGCAACATGCGTGTCGCGCACTCATTCATGACTGGTCTCAATGTCCCACCGCCCTGCGCGCGGGCCTTCTAGGCCCGCGGGTAGTCTCCCCCCATCCCCAGGGCCTCCAGGGCTCGCACCTCAACCTCTCTCACAGACCAGCGCACAGCGGTCAGCGCCATAAGGAGGTATTTTCTTCTCAATAACAAGGCTGACAGAGTTCGACACCGAGCAGCTGGCTCCGCGAGACCGAGGCCCCTCGAGGTTCACAGCGGGTCGGCTGGGCCCCCCCCCCATACCACTCTCACAGCACAAAGAAAAACGACGCAATGAGCAGTCGAACCGTATGGCAAGGCCAAGCTGCTCGACTTGAGGGGACGAGGCCAGCATTAGCAGTAGTGTCGCTAGCTAGCGGTGGGATATGCACGCGCCAACGCCCGTCCAGGACGGACGGAGGCGTTAGGACAACGCAACCCTAACCCGTAGCCAAATTGGCACTCGGGCGTGTGCGCGCGTAGACACTACTCCTTGCTGTGTGTCCCTACGGCATATTAAGATGCCGATAAATGCCTCAAGAGCCGAGTGTGGGCCGGAAAGCCCAGCACTCTCTCGCCAGGAAGCATCGCAACACAAAGAGCTACTCGGGTCGGAGC